AGAGCGGTCCTTGAGGTTCTGCACGGGAAAGCGACGTCGTAGACCGTCTTATTGTTGGCACTCAGACGGAGACCGTAACCAGTGGTAACACGTTTGCCCACCGTGCATGTCAGTACATGACCTAGCGCGGTCCGTGGTGTGAGTTGACAGCTATGAAGTCAGGCGACTTATAAAGCTACACGCCTGCGCATGAGAGTAAAGGCGTGTGGAGAGAAATGGAGGAAGTCGATCCAGGGGCCTGGAGAAGACAGGAGGCCTGAGGCGATGGAACTCCAGAAGAATGATAGCAGACTTACTTCCACGGATTATTCATCACAATACCCGACAGAAATTAACGCCAAGAATTAACGACAGTTGTTTTATTAGAGCACTAGAATTGAAACAGCATGAACAGAGTAATGAGCTACCACCGAACAGTAATGATACAAAACTGACACATACCCAGCAGAATTACGCCGCTAGAAATATTGCCGAAGCAATAAGATAACGCCCCCGTATGATTAAAGACAGCCTGTATGCACTTGCTGTAAAATGTATGTGATATCAAACAAGGAGGCAGCGTTAATGAGCAGTTAGATCCCCGAATATAAGTCCCCAAATCATCCTAAGTATCCAATAGTTTCTTCTTATTTATGTGCATAATAAATTGAACTGATACTCGTGTAATACTTTTCAAAATATTTTTCTGGTATATTTGGGAGTCAGCCCTCTGTTTTGATACTGAGTACTTCGTGGTCACTACCTTTTACTCCTGGGCGAGCAGCGATCTGAAACCTTGCATCAATCTCAACTATTAAATTTTCAGCGCAATGCCGTGCCGCTGTAAGCAGATGCAAGTAGACTAGGTTGGGCTCTAACGGAATCCTACCTCGCCATACCGCGGTCCGAGCGACACTACCCGTGAGTGAAAGGGCGAATTATTTGATCCTCACTCCTGCGCGCCGTGGGCGTCTGCCTGGCTCTCCTCTTCCGTCATGAATAATATTGTTGACTGCATTCTGTCCTTCCTCCATGCTGCTCCGTCTCATCCTATCGTACCAAATTCTGTCCTCTCATCATCCCTCTCTCTCTCTTCATCTCGGCATAATTCGTCTCTCGGTAATTAAATTGGCATTCTAAAAAGATCTTGCAGCAGGAATCGGCGTCTCTTACGCTGAAGTTCCTGTTTCTATATGACCTAGGATTGCTCAGAGCCGTTGTTTAATTTATCTATCAAACTCTCCAGGAACGAAAACTTACGGTAAACTACAGAATGCCACACAGATCTGGAGCCTATAATTCTACCGCAACATTTTTTAATCCTTTCTCCCTCTCGCCATACATATTCATTTCGTACTATTAGAGCCCAACAGCAATTAGCAACTGAATACTTATCAGAGGGGCGAGCGAGGGAAATGCTCTTCATGTGCGTAATAATCTTGCTAAACGAGACGCGAAAACGGTTCTCTCCCATACCATAACGTACTGTATACGGCCAATATCTTTCCGCAGGAGTACAGATATTTTTTTGGCGAATTCATCCCACTTGACGGAATCAATTTCGGGCGTTCGGTCTTCCGGAATTAAGGATATTCCATTCATATTATTCGGTGAGTGACAATTATTCGCTCCCTCATGCTCGGTGTTGTTACCTTTTCGCGTTTGTGCGAAATTTCGCCAAAAATTAAAAGACCCCCGAGAAAGTATACAGGCGTATAAGACGCTGTCATCTATATATATAAGAATCCGTTGTTACAGTCAGCGAAATTAGTTTCGTACTCGAGCATAACTAGAGAAACTCCTAGCCTAGAGGAAAACTAAAGAAAATATTTTCAGATAATCAGCAACGTCCTGGGAGGTGGGTTTCTGGCCTAAAACAAAAATTAAAAAATCGATAAAGTTCCAATTTCATCAATAGATGGCGGTGGGCCGTACAGATTAAACATGCCACGTACGTCCGTTAATTGCGCAGTGAGCCTAATCGCTAGAACATTGCGGCATCATTCACATCCCCTCGGATTCTTACCAAGGTTCGAGTCGCCAGTGGTGGGCGAACTTAATTTTTTTCCCTTCTTTTCCGTTTTTTTTCCCATTTTACCTACCTCTTCTAGTATTGTGTTATTATTTTTAATTTTTTTACGTTTTTACTTTTTATTTTTTATTATTTAAATGTCATTTATCTTTTGATTTCTTATTATCTTTTTAAATAGTTTGGGGATGGGATGGGAATGGCCTTGGGCTATGGGAATGGCATGATGATGGCATGGCATGGCTATGGGAATGTAGCGCTCGCGATGGATGGCATGGCACTGTCATGGGATGGCATTGACGATGCGGATGGGATGTGATGGATGCGGTGGGAGATGGGAATGGATGGCATGGAATGGAGGAATGGATGATGCATCGGAGTGGATGCATGGATAGATAGTAGTTAGATTTTTTTTTGGTATTTATCCTTTCAACCAAGCGGTCACCAACAAGAGTACGCCCACTGGGGATTTACATTCATGTGGCGCCAACTGCGGTATCCTAATATGGCGTATACAGTACGTTATGAAAGCGTTTTCGCGTCTCGTTTCAGATTATTACTACATGTAAATTTCCTGTCGCCCCTGATAGTCATGCTGCTGTGGATCAAGCCGATTGGCAGGGAAATCTTTACTCAGGTTACTTGGGGAAAATACGGAATCCTGTAAGTTATATTGCCATCGTATCCTGACAGGGGTAGGTTAAGTGGAAAACGCTTAAATGTGAAAAGAAATGGAAGGGTGGGCTTGATTACTGCTGTGAATATTTTAGGTAATTCTGTGGTAGTTCTTTGTTCATTCTGTGGTAGTTTTGGTTAATTCTGTGGTAATTCTTGGTTAATTCTGTGGTATTGTGATGAATAATCCGTGAGTAACGGTGGTCTCGCGGTAGGATGAGTTCGGACGGCTACGAGTCGTTCCGGCTGTGGGCGGTCGTTGCCATGGTGACGCTGAGGCTGTGTCTCCTCACCCTGCACCTGCAGGCCTACCTCAACCTTGCTTACGACCGTGTGCAGCTGATGAGCAAGGAAGCTGGTCGCATCTCCAGCACTGAGCTGCAGAGAATGGTGAGCGCGCAATAGCCGTGTACATAGCACGATTCTCATACGCATGTAGAAGGTTATTGATATAGGATGTCAGCTTGCATCCATGTGCACATAGGCAGGTTAGCAGTGTTTAGAGGTTAGCCCAGCATAGAGCTTTGTGAGTCTACACCTCATTACACTATAGTCATACAATAATACATGCATGTTTCTTAAAAGTATTGTTAAAAACTATTGCTGCTAAGAATTATATTGTAAGTTGTAATTGGGTTATAAATTTTAATCTACACCACTAGGTGGCTTCCAAAGGCAAATTCTGGTCAAATTATCGCTTTGAAATGATTACAGTTTCACTTTGATAGGACTACAGTTCGGTTTTGTTAAAGTAATTTAAAGGGATACTTTCCTCTAGAATTTGAGAGTATATTATGATAGATTTATAAATAATAGCACATACCTATAAATATCTATAATTACGCATTCACGTTTGTCATAAAACATTGAATTTTCGAAATCTTAATTTTTAGGCACTGACATGACACCCATGACTGTGCTGCCACCCTGAAAAAGTTGCGCATTTGCCCATTTATTTTGCACGTTACAGACCGATGGCTAATCACAAAAGTGCAATTATTAAATGCCAAACGATATTTATTTTAAGACAAATTTATCCATATTATAACTGAAACTGTCGTTTATAAGATATTGCAATACTTCTGCTCATAAATTAATAAATAAGAAACACCCTCGGTCTGTATCCTGCAGCCGAAACGTTGCATTGCGAAACTTTTCAGTGGATGCCTGCCATGTCGTTGTAAGCAACGGTATAGCCGTCAGTTGTAAAACATTTTTTTTTAAATATTTCTAATAAATATTGAACCATAAAACTTTTTATGAAGCGTAATTTTAACCTATCTGAGCTGAAAATATCTGAAGAACCTAGAGAAATGTATCCCTTTAATTAACATTTGTTGTTATTGCAGGTCGCGCGAGTATTTTACTACCTGTGCGTGGTGACGCTACACTACGTCGTGCCAGCAATACTTATACTTAATGTGTTGTTCCTACTCAAAACACTAGGTGAGTACAATAACTACTGTATGAGACAGTTCGAAACCATGATTTCTTAGTCAGATTAACTCGAAAGATGTTGTCTTCATATAGAACGTCGGCTGCGAAAACTTTCTGTTATTTACAGGTGATGGGAGCTGGTGCAGCAGCGCCATCTGTGAGGACTACTCGCAAACAGAGCATGAGAGGGCGCCACCGTCTCCGTTCGCCAAGCTTCCCGATGCCATCGGCAGTTCGCTGAAGGATGCCACCGAGCAGTTCCAGGTTGCCATAGTAACGCTCAAGCAGGTGTTCCCACCGCTGTTCTTCCGCGGCATACTCTCCTACGCCCTCTGGTGGCTGTGCGGGGTGAACTTTGCGAGCCAGGTGTTCGGCCTCACCTACTACTCATATTTTGCTGAACAACAGTAGCACAGCTTTGGCGGGAATGCTCCCCAGCAACCAGCCAGCTGATGGGAAGGCGCAGCAACTTATTCACGATCGTTTGCTGGATGGAACTGAATTACTGGTAGAACTGCCAGGGCATCGTTGAGTGACGTTTTGCGAACAGACAACCGGCCTGGCGCGACACTGCGTGATGTGCAAGTATTGAGAATGGCGTGTCCTATTCATTGTTATTATTACTCGGCTGTTATAGTGCAATGATTATTATATCAAGTCGTAGATCCTACGTTTCGAAGTGGATTCTAGATTCGTGTAGGCTTTTTTAATCCCCACCCCCTTGATATACCCGCGCGGCACATGCAGGATGCGAATGTGAATGTTTTTCTAATATTTATGAAGTTTTATTAAAAATAATTTTTTTCTACAAAGGACAAGTGTGATCACACTCGTTTCTCTTTACCGCTTGACGCTCAAATATTTACAACATTTTCTTCAACAATGACGCTTCCGCGTTTTCGACGGACGGCGCGTGTACGACGCACCCTCACGCTTCACGTTCGAGAAATCCGCCGGCACTGCGAGCGGGTTCAGCGACAGCAGTTCGCGCGTGTCGACGTCGCTGCTCCTGGCGCCCTCTGTGTCCTCGCTGGCGACGACGACGAAGCCGTCGCCGCTGAGCACGATGCGTGGCGCAGTGCCATGCCGCCGACACAGCTCGCTGCTCAGCAGTCTGTACTGCCGTTCGATGAAGCGCCGCTCGGATGCCGTGTCCGCTGCCTTGATGTTGTCGGCAAGCGCCTGCACCCACTCCAGCATGATCGTCGACTCTGAAACGACAGCCGACATAGAACCGCTATCATCACAAACCTAAATACAACCACTATCTTCACGAACCCTGATGCAACGGCTATCAGCACAACTGCGATACAACTGCTATCTTTGTAAATTACCGTGCAATAGTGCTGTGCGTCGGATCCGACATGAACGAATCCGATCGGATTCGGATTCGGAGCGGATTTACAATTTTTAAAGAATCGGATTCGGATTCGGATTCGGATTCAAAATTGTCGTCGGATTCGGATTCGGAGTCGGATTTTCAAAAATGCTGTCGGATTCGGATTCGGATTGCAGGGATCGGGAGAGAGGTGTGCGTGTTTGTGTTGTGTGTGTGACAGAGAGAGAGAGAGAGAGAGGGAGTGTGTAT